GGCAGAGAAGGTGGCAGGGGACCAGACTTAGGGTTGCTGTGAGTCAATACCAACTTGACAACACCTGACCACCACCACCACTACACCACGAATACACAAAGATTGGAACAGTTCACTCACAGTAGATCTCCCTTACAAGAAATACTAACGGAAGCGGTTCAGGTGAAAAGACATACCCCCCAGATGGTAATTGAAATCCTCAGAAGAAAATAAAGGGCGTTGGGAAAGGTCATTGTTTGGATAAATACAAAAGCTAGTAGAAATAGATTTCTCTCTTTTCTTCCCTTCTCTGCACAAAACAATAACTATAAAGCTGTGCTATTGGGCTTATACCATATAAAAATGTTATTATATATCTGTGGTGGTTAAGTTTGTGTGTCAACGTGGCTGGGCCTGGTTGAGTGGCTGGGCAGCTGTTGGTGGTTATTTCTCTTGGTGAGATTGGTAATTGACTCCATGGTGGAATCTATTGGAGCAGCTGAGTAGCTGCTTTAGGGATGTGGTCTGCTTTCCATATATAAGCAACAGCTTTGGGACTGGCCTCTAGCCTGTGGCGCGCTTGGACCCTGCATGTAGTCAGGTCGTTGTTCAGCAGCCTGCCCAGCTCTGCTGACCTTGAGACTTTGAATGGACTTGAATTAATGGCCTGCCATGTGGTTGGGTAACATGGGGACTATGCCATTTTACTTGTCAACCTTGGGCTTGTCAACCTCACCAGCCAGTGGCTGCCTGAGTGAAGAAAGGCCTCCAGCTCCAGTGGGCCAGGAGCAGGAGGCAGAGCCGAAGCCCAAGGTCGAGGGGCTTTCACCCAGCGCCTAGAGCTGGCACTTGGAACTCGGACTTCAAGCCTCCCGAAAAATAAGAGAATAAACTCCTGTTTGTTCAACCATCCCATTTGTGGTATATTCCTGTCAGAGTGGCACTAGGGAACTGGAACAAGATCCTATAATAATAACAAAAAGGAATGAGGAAGGAAAGGAGCTGCATTGGAACAAAGAAATGACCCAAGTGGTAACTCAAGACCAAAGGGAGAAAGAAAACTAAAACCAAACCAAACCCACTGCCATCAAGTTGATTCACAGAGTACAACTGGCCCATATGGTTTCCAAAGCTGTCAGTCTTCACAGAATCAGACGGCTACATCTTCATCCCGCTAAGTAGCTGGTGGGTGCAAACCACCAACCTTTTGGTTAGCAGACAAATGTTTCAACTTCTGTGCCACCAGAGCTCGTTCTTTTTGTTGTTATGTGCTGTTGAGTCGGCCCCGACTCATAGCGACCCCTCCTTGGGTTTCCAAGGTGGTATCTCTATGGAAGTAGATTGCCTAACCTTCCTTCTGAGGAGTGGCTGATGGGTTTGAACCACCAGCCTTCCGGTTAGCAGTCAAGTGCCTTAGGCACTATGCCACCAGAGCTCCTTAGGAAGAAATAAATAGCACTGCAAATGTTGAATATGTGGGTGACTATAAAAAGTTCTATACATGTATTTTTTCTCTATGTGTAAATATGAGGAGCTCTAAGGCACTTGACTGTTAACCAAAAGGCTGTTGGTTCACACCCACCAGCCACTCCTCAGAAAGAAGGTTGGGCAATCTACTTCCGAAGAGATACTGCCTCGGAAACCCAAGGAGGGGTAGCTGTGAGTCGGGGGCAACTCGACAGCACATAACAACAACGACGTAAATGTGTGTATTTTTTCAAAAACATTTTAGGGTAAGTCATAGTGATCAGAACCCTTCAGTCCAAAAGGCTTCAATGTCCACCTCCTACAAGCAAAGATACTTTTAAATAAACATGGTGCGATGATCAGAGTCAGAAAATTTAGCATTGATACAATACTATTAGGAGCTCTGGTAGCATAATGGCTAAGGCACTTGACTGCTAACCAGAAGGCTGGCGGTTCAAACCCACCAGCTACTCCTCGGAAGGAAGATGGGGCAATCTACATCCGTAGTGATACTGCCTCGGAAACCCAAGGAGGGGTCGCTATGAGTCAGGGCCGACTCTACGGCACATAACAACAACAACAACAGTACTATTACTTGTATACACAGAAAGCTAACTCACTCTTTTTCACACTTATGAAATATTGTATTGAATGCATGTCTCTACAGGTAGATATTCAGGTTAAATCCTAAATGTTTTCTTTCACAGATAATTTTACAATGCTTAACCATGTACATAAGTCATTTTGTACATCTAAGTATTTCTGTCATCTAAGCTGCCCATCAGAGGAGTTGAACTAGTTTATACCATCCACAAAAATTACAATTACTACATAGCCCATAGTCATACAGTGTTGTTGTCCCAATATTGTCCTTATAGCAATTGTAGGCTAAATTTCTTGAAAGTGCAGTGCACCAAATGGGATTTAAAACAGAGCTCAGATGTAGATTGTCACAAACACAGGCACTTAATTTATGACAGGGGTAGTAGCCCTGGAGAGCCATGGAGACATGATAGTCTTTCCAAGTAACAAAACAAACTCTGACCCTTCTCTCTTGCCATACACAAGTATCAATTCCAGGTAAATGTAAATGGAAAAGGCAGAACGGAAGGTTTCACTTGTTCCCTCTGCTTTCCTGTATCCATTTGACTTGTTCCCTCTGCTTTACTGTATCCATTTTGATTCTATTCACTCTTGTTTCATGGTCAAAACCCTTATTTTATTTATTTGTATTAATTTTAGCCTTTTGTGCCTTTCTTTGGAAGAACAAAACCTAATTGTTATCCCTACTATAACTGAGGACATCGTTGTAGCCACTACATCAATGCAACTCGTTGAGGGCCTTTCCCTTTTTCGTTAACCCTCCACCTAACCAAGCATGACGTCCTTCTCCAGGGAATGGTCCCTTCTGACAACATGAACAAAGTCGGTGAGACCAAGTCTCACCATTCTCTCTTCCAAGCAGCATTCCAGCTGCACTTCCTCCAGGACAGATCTGTTAGTTCTTTTCGCAGTCCATGGCACTTTCAGCATTCTTCGCCAGCACCACAACTCAAAAGCATTGACTCTTCTTCAGTCTTCCTTATTCACTGTCCAGCTCTCACATGCATATGAGATGGTTGAAAATACCATGGCTTGTGTCAGGTGCACGTTGGTCTTCAAGGAGATATCTTTGCTCTTCAACACCTGAAAGAGGTCTTTAGCAGCAGATTTGCCCAGTGCTGTATATCATCTGATATCTTGACTGGTGCTTCCATGGGTGTTGATTGTAGAACCAAGTAATATGAAATCTTTGACAACTTCAATCTTTTCTCCATTTATCATGA